CCAAGACTCGAAGCCGTTGTGGGACTCGTTCCTGGATGCTACCGCAGATTGCGCTAAGGTCTGGCGAGGGAAGGCGATTGAGTAGTATGAGGCTGTGGCTAACGAGTTCCTAAAAAGGCTCTTAGTCTTAATCTACATGGGTTCTGGCTAGCCTCTGCGCGAGAGTGAACTGTTCTCCGTCACCTAGTGTAACACCTAGTGGCGGCGAAACGTTTACTTTAAACATAGGCTAGTTATACTGCACACTACATACCACAAAGGTTAGTAGCAGACGGGCAAGTTTAAGGATAATATCCGGTTCTTGCCTGCACCCGTTGGAGACCTCTTGCTCGACTACTTGGTGGTTGTTATCCCGCTCCGCTAGGTTTTCCTCCGCTAGTTTGCCCCGCATACTATTATCTCTCCGTACTTATGGTGGTAAGACAAGAAGGTCTGGGCTAACAACCGGCTCACGCGGTGCATAGAGCAGGCGTATAGTCGGGCTAGCATCCTTAGGCTATACATAGCCAACTAGCGGCAGATAATAGTTAATATCGTTAAAACTAAGTTTGTAGCTAACGTTAGGTGCTTTAAGGTTGACGACGGGGCTAACGACGAGGATGCCGAAGAGATTGAGGCTAACATTCGGGTTATGACCAAGTAGCGGAACTATAGTACGCGGACTATTAACCGGGCATATGCAAACCAATATAATACTAACTTTAGGAATGTATAGGATAGCCTTATTCGCTGGAATCTGCGTGCTTCAACTCTGTGGAAGGACTTGTGGGGGCTTAACTAGCTGCTTAGACTTGCTAGGAAGAGGAAGCGAGATAGTGAAGACATTAGTGGTCCGCAAATGCTCAAAAAGATCGCTATAGGGGTCTACCGGCTACGGAAGAAGTAGTTAGCTATAGCTCTACTAAAGAGCGCCAGAAAGCTGTACTAGGATAACACACTGTAATGGAGGTCAGCAGCCTAGGAACGGGCTGTAACTACTATTATATCATAGACTAAGCAAGTAGTGGTTATTATAGCTACTAGCGAGGGGAAGAGCCTGCTGTTCATACTACTCTGCATCCTCCCTAATACTAGGGTGACGATCTTAGTCTTGCCCCTTGTGTCTCTGCGAGGGGACCTCCTCCGCCGAGTCCGAGAGTTGGGGATCGATCACTTAGTGTGGGCGCCTAGCGAGCAGTAAGATACACCCTTGGTGTTTATTACAGTTAAAGTAGTATGTACGGAACAGTTTCGGACTTATGCCCACAAGCTTGCGGCTACGCAAGACCTCGGCCGCATTGTGTTTAACGAGGCTCACTTGACCATCACAGCGTCCGACTATCGCTAGGCTATAGTTGACCTCGCCTTGATCCACAACGTTTGTATGCAGTTTGTTTACTTAATAGCCACTCTACCACCGATAATGCAGGCCACGTTTAAAGAGCAGAATAACTTAGTGAATCTTAAAGTGATCCGAGCATCGACGAACCGGCGGAACCTCTTCTATATAGTACAGCGGGCCACTAGGCTAGGGACTCTTCTAGAGGAGGGCGCGCGGAGGGCTCGGGACGCGTAGGAGAATAGCCGGCTCTTGGATCGGGCTCGAGACAAGATCATCTTATACGTGCGGATAAAGGAAGATGCTACTACGCTAGCCGAGCTGCTCTACTGCTCCTAGTACACAGCCGACGTAGGCACGGCTGAGCAGAAGGAAGAGCTGCTGAGAACGTAGCTTGCCTCCTCGGACTAGCCGTATATCGTGGCCACGTCTGCACTAAGCGCCAGCTTCGACTATGCCTACGTTCGTCTGGTTATACACATCAATAAGCTGTCGTCTTTAATCGACTTCGCCTAAGAGTCTAGCCGGGCCGAACGAGATGGAAAGGAGGCGTACTCGCTGGTCCTCCTCTCCCCTACGTGGAAGCCGCAAGCCGCTGAGGGTACCGCGGTCGAGAGGAGAGCCCTACACCGCTACCTGCTCGGCTA